ATAGTTAAATAGTTTCTGGTTGTATTTATTTTTGTTTTTCCATTTAGGTAAAGTGCCTAGAGGATGAGCGCTTAAGAACAGAAGATGAGTTATCCAAGTATAAAGAAATAATAAATAGACAGAAAAGTGAAATTCAGAATTTGCTGGACAGAGTCAAAACTGTAGATCAGCTGCAGGATCAGCATCAGAGGTACAGCTGTGCACTATGAGTAATGATTTAAAAGATTATTGGAGATGTGGAAGGGTTTGTTTTATTGAAGCTATTGATGCTTTAAATTAATTGTAATTTGAAGAATGCCTGTCTTTATTTAAATCAGTGCTGCTAATATTGAAGATAACCTTGGTGGCCTCATACAAACCAAGGGGATTGAGATTGATAAATCTAATTTAGCATCTCTCATTATTAGAATAACAAGTGCCTGATTTCCAGCATACTCTACAGGAAATTGTCTTCTAGGTGTCTGCTCAGTGCTTGTTTTATTGGAAGATGGAGGGGAGCAATTAAACTGGAAAGATAAATTGCTTTAAAAAAGTGATGGATGAATGGAAGTATTTAATGGAAAGAATTTTACTTACTTGAGAGATGCTCTATTCAGACAGCATGAGGCACTTGTCTTTCTAATGGGCTGGAATTCATTCTGCTGTGTTGAAGTTCACTCATTTAAGAATGTGAGGGGAATAATGTCAGGGGAGGGCTGGGCTCATGCACGATTCAGGAGTGTCTGAGCATGGTCCTGTGCCTGTGGGGAACACATGGACTGGGAAATACAAATGCTGCCCACTCTGCTGGTTCCAGTGGTGCTGCATAAATGGAGATAGACAAATGTCAGATAGGCACAACCACCCCTGTGTGTCTGTCCCTCTCATTCTGGTAAACAGTTTTTATTTATCACTGTAAAGTATTTCCATGGTTTAGGCTTTCCTCACGGCTTAGCAAATCAGCCACTTTCCATGTGCTGTGTGCCTGTCACCTGTATTGTCATGGTGTTCTCAGCCTTTCCAGGGACTGCTCTGTGCTGGAAGCTACTGGAGCCTGCACTTGGATCAGTAACAGTTATTTTTCTCTTGGAATCTTGACAAATGAATTAAAGTGACTGTGATCAAAGTGTGAAACTACAAATGTGTGTTTCCACTTATCTTTTCCTCTCAGTAATTGAGACATGCTTAAATATGTCTCCCATTCCTATTCAATTTGGATTTTTTTTCTTCAGTATCCTTCCCATACAACATTTATTATCCCTACATTAAGTTTTGTATTGTCTTTTATTTCAATTTCAGTGCAGACATCCTGAAATGTATAAAGGCTGTATTATGTTGAATGTTCAGCTATGTTTGTTCACTGGAGGAATATGATTTTAGGTTGAATGCTGGGAAGAACTTCATGGCTGAACTGGATACTGATCACCTCCAGTGTTCCCTGGTCTCCTTCATTTGCAAAATTTAAGGATAATCTAGACATCTTTTTTAGAATGGTCTAAACCTTTAATTTTGTCTGATCCAACTCTGACTGCTAGGCAGAGCTTTCTCCTGTCATGATGAAACAACATATTTGAAAATGTAAAATACAAGCAAACATGCAACCTTCTAGCACAGGTTTTTAAATGGGAGCTACAGGTGAGATACTTTGCAGCACAGATGACTGGGTCTCAGCTCTTCTTGGGGAAGCAAACAGTACAGGATTGTTTATTTAAAGTGAATTGATCCTCCTCATAATTACACTGTCTGTCAGGAAATGAAATGAGATGTGTGCTCTTGCTTTGTGTAATTTTAATTTTAGTTTTAAATTTGAGTATACACACTCCCTGTGAGAAAGGTGAGGTTTTTTTTCTGCTGATGTTAGAAAGTAAAGCTTTAGAAAAGGTGTATCCAATTCCATGATGGAAGAATTAATGAACTAATATGGCAAGAGCAAATAAGAGGGAGGTTTTTAGTCTGTAACATTTTTAAGGGCTATTACATTTTGGAATTCATTTCAAACACTTTGAAATTATGATAAGTGAAGATGCAGCATTTTTTACTCAGATGGATTGGATGGGAGAGTATTTCAGTAGAAACAAAAACTTGTTTTGTAGAGGGGAAGGACTTCTTTTGGGGGAGGAGTAGGTGGAATATGACAGGTCCTTTGATTCAGAGCTGCAGGGCTTGGATAAGGACATGTCAGGAATCACCATACTGCTGTCCTAGAGAAATCCAAACTGCATTTTTTCCCTGTTTCTAAAGAGAAGGCCTCTTACAGATTGGCCACTTTGTTGGGTTGCAAACCTTCTCTCACCTACTAGGTCTGGTTTTGAGGGTTTTGTTTGTGCCCTGATCTGAAGGTCAGGTGGAGAAGTTGAAAATGGAGAGCTGGCCTTCCTTGAGGAGCTAATGCCTGAGTGTCCTCTGTGGGCTGCAGAAATCTGTCATTTCAGCACTGCAGGTGGTGTGAAACAAAGGAAAAACTCCCTTGACATTTAAAATGATCCAGTGACTAAAAGCTACCCCAGGGTCATTAATTGTTCCCCTGCCTTATTTGGACTTGACCTGAATGCTTTTATTGCAATAAACTTGTATCTTTAAGCTCAGGTTATCCCTAATGTGATACAATTGTTTTGACAGAGATGAACAAGAAATCAATGCTTTAAAGGAAGAAATAGATGGTTTCAATTCTCTGGTTGCTGATCTTCAGAAGGACATTGAAGGTAGTCGGAAAAGAGAATCTGAGCTATTGATATTCACTGAGAAATTAACCAGTAAGAATGCACAGCTTCAGTCTGAAAACAATTCCTTACAGAGCCAGTTGGATAAGCTTTCTTACAGTGAAAGAGAGCTGCAGAATCAGCTGGAGTGTGTTCAACAGACTAAAGATGATCTGGTGAGTACAGTGGGCTTTTTGTTTTTGCAGATAAAGATGTAGCACATGAATACCACCTTGTATCTTCATTTACCTGACTGAAGTTTCTCCTTGAGTTTGTCATTAGTAGCAGTGGGATATGAACACCTCATGTTCCCAGGCTGAAAGAAATTTTGAGGCACACTGCCCTGGAATGAGGAGGTGTCGCTGTGTTGCTCTTTCTGGTATTTTGGGAGCAGAGAGTTGTTCACTTTCAGATGAAATGAAACAGGCAAAAGGTTCTAATTTGCCTGTGAAATTTGTTACTGTAAGTGGTTCCTCAGGTCCTGTTTGTATTATGAGATAAATGTAATTTTTAATAAACTTAGTGTGTCATGGAAAGTGATGTGACTTTGTACTGTATCATGTAGAAGTTCTGGAGGTAGTTGAGGAATCTTACTATTCATGTGAAATGCTAGTGTTCAGCCTAAATAATAAATGTAAAGTGTGAATGATTCCCAGGTGTAAAGTGCAGTTAGGAATGTTGAGCATGCACTATGGTTAGGCTGGAATTTTTTATGTATGACTGAAAATAACATCCCAATTTCAGGCCATCAGGTTACAGAAGGAGGAGGATCAGAGAAAGTCAGAGGTAGAGGCCCTGCAGGCTCAGCTGGCCTCAGAGCAGGAGGAAGTGTCAGCCCTGAAGACCCACGTGGATGAGCTGAAGGATGACCTGGCTACCCAGAAGCGCAAGCACGCAGCCAACCTGAAAGACCTCACAAAACAACTTCAGCTAGGTGGAGATTATTGTCACTTATGAGACAGCCCCATCTGTGACCCCCTCAGTGTCTGGTAGAGATTCAGGTCCTGTCTGTATGTGCTCACTGCTTGAGTGTCACCCTTCAAACTCTCCCTGTCCCTGGAGACAATGACAGTGAGCAAGTTAGACCTTGTGGAAACTGCAGTTTCAGGCCTTTGTGTTAATTTTCAATCTAAAATGTAACTTCTGAAGTGGGTTTAGACTTTAAATGAAATATTTATTTCAAAAGAGGTTAGTCTTTGTTATGATATATCTGACTACTGAAATATCACTGTAGGTATATATGGATCCTGGTCTGTGTAGGAGTATATTCAGAAGTTACCTAGTTGCTGACTGTATCAGGAATTGCTGGTTATTTTTTTAACAGACCACTTCAGTTTTTAAAGGTGGATATGGAGAGATTGATGACTAATTTTGTCTACAAATAGAAGTCATCAAATACCCAACAATGCATGAGTAGAAAATAGATTTGAAGATAATCAAATGTATTTGAAAGAAGAGATCCTATTGGCACTTTGCAAGACAAGTTCTGTGTCCCTTTTTGTGCATTTAAGAACAGCTGTGTGCTTTCCCTCTTGATCCCTACTGAGTGAGTGGTGCTTCTGGCACAAGTACTGCTGCAGTGGCACAGTTATGAGATGCTGGAACAGAGTTACTTACTGGTCCCAGTTAATCCTATATATGACATTACCCTTTCAACTGGCAAACGCAGCAGTGTGCAGGGATCGTGGTGGGTGTTAACTCCAGGTGCTGCTTGGGTTTTACTTTTAGTTGCTACCATTGTCTTTCAGTTGTCACATCATGTTAAATTAGTGCAGGTCAGAGATGATTACAGGTTCTGTATGTTGGGTAACACTGTAATTTTTATTTCTTGCTGTGCTATTGGTAATCATCATTTTGTTAATACTTTTAGCACGGAGGAAATTGGATCAGATGGAAAATGGTAATTATGACAAAGAAGTCAGCAGCATGGGGAGCCGTTCCAGTTCATCAGGTAATGGAGCACATAGCAGGGCTGCCAAACAGCCCTTCAGTCTTAACAAGGTTGCCACAGTGTGTTTGCTCTTTATGTGGTTTGTGCATATGCAGTGTGTGGGCAGCCTCCCATTAAAACTGACAAAATAGCCTCTAAGCAGCAAAATGCACTTGACTGACTGCAGTTGTAGGTGCTTATTATGAGATTAAAGTGTAATGTTTATGATGTTTATATATTTTGGTTCTTTTTAAATACCTGCCTTTTTCATTTTATTGCTTTTATGTTTGGAGGAAGCTCAAGAGGACTCCAGTTTATACATGCTCCTTTTACATGCTGCTAGAGGCAAAATAAAAATGAGCAGTGGTGTCCAACATTGTCTAATTGCCCTATTGACAGTTGTGACTGTGTAAATGAGAAATCAATTAGCATCATTAGAGACATCAGTGGGTTTATGTAATATTCATTATTTTCTATCCAGTAGAAGTACAGGAGTGATCTTTAGCGCTGAAAACAGCATGTTTCCTTCCTTGATATCTTTAGGTTTCAAGTTGGGTTAGGTCTGTCCAGATGTCCTGTAATCTCACTGTGTGAGAGAGACAAATGCTTAGAAAGAACAGCATAAAGTAAATACTGCAAGCTCGAAGTAATCAGTGCTGCAGAGTGTTTATATGTAGGGCTTTTGTGAGTCTGTACAGTTTTCATAGTATTGTAATTTTAGTTTACTCCAAAACACACATTTAAAATCAACTCAGTCTTGTGCAAAATAAATTTTAAGTGGGAATAAGCATTCCTGAAGGGAGCACACTTAGACCAGAGGCAGTGCACCCACAGGAGGGGACTGCAGCTCTGTCCCAGCCTGTCTCATTTAAACACTGCAAGGATCCTTTCGAGAAAACCCCACTAACATCAAGAGAAACTGGCATCCTGGGGCAGGTATCCTCAGCTCCTGACAGGTAGTGAGTGCATGCTCTGCTCTGCTGGGGGCTCCTCACCTGGTGTAGGCTGTGGAGGAGTTTTTCCAAACCCTGTGTTGTTGGCAGGGTCCCTGAACGCGCGCAGCAGCACCGAGGATCGCTCACCCGAGAACACTGGCTCTGCAGTGGCTGTGGACAGCTTCCCAGAGGTGGACAAGGCTGTCCTGGTGGAAAGAATACTGAGGCTGCAGAAGGCACATGCTCGAAAAAATGAGAAGATGGAGTTTATGGAGGATCACATCAAACAGCTGGTGGAGGAAATCAGGAAAAAAACCAAGTATGTTCTGTGTTCTGTTCATGCAGGTTTTCAGTGTTGAGCTGATGCACTAGACAAGTAAGGAAACAAATTGTCTTAGTGAAAATGTTTAAAACAGTAAAAATATTGCAGTGACACTAGATTTCCAAGATGGAATTAGTTTTAAGGGTTTTTTTTTTTCCTTCTTTTTTCCCAGCAGTTACAGTAATTGCCAAGTTTTTGGCAATTAGTACTATTACTGAATTTTTTCAGGAGGAATAAACTGGCACAAGTGGGTTTTTGGTAGCAAAATGGTCAGCAGGTGGCTGATTTGTGGTGGACTGCTGCCACTGGCTAACAGAAGAGTCCATTCTCCTCATGTGCTTAAAAGGGTGCTGATTGTGTTTGTTTTGGAAGGAGAATCTGCATTATTCCAGGTGGTACTCTGGTATACACATCAAACAAATGATGTATCTGAGCCAAAGGTGGTCAGTGGTTAATGTGTGAGACAAGATTCCACTTCAATGAAAATCTCATCTTACAGGATAATGTCTGGAACTTCAGTTAGGAGGGTAAGAAATGCTGGCATAAAGCTGCTTCTGGAAGGTGCAGTTGCCTGTTAGGAACAGCCCTTGCTTAATGAGTCCATACATTTATGCCCCGCTGGTACCATTTCACAGAACATGATCACAGCTTGGGAAGACTCCTGAGAAGTGGCTTTGTAATTTTTTTTTCTCATGTGTAGAAAGCTTAAGATTCCATGTCTGGAGTCCTTGAGCAAAGAAAAGTCGACTTTTTAAATTACCTTTCTTGTCCCAGTAGCTTTTCAAAATACTTTTAAATAAGTAAACCCTGCACATTGTAGTTTCTTGGCTTACCAGCATTTCCTGTATCACTGTTGGTATCTCAGGTTTTCCTCTGACATAGAAATTGCAAGAGTAAATTTTTACTCCTTTTTTGGTAATACAGTACTGCTTGAAAATAAAATTACTTATGGCAGGAATCTGAAGTTACTGCAGCATCTGACTCTTCTCACCTCGTAATGCTGTGATGTTGCTGGTTTGTTTTTCACTCCAGAATTATCCAGAGTTACATTTTGCGGGAAGAAGCGGGAACACTTTCATCAGAGGCCTCTGACTTCAACAAAGTACACTTGAGCAGGCGTGGGGGGATCATGGCATCTCTGTACACATCTCACCCTGCAGACAGTGGGCTCACCTTGGAACTCTCCTTAGAGATAAACAGGAAGCTTCAGGCTGTGTTAGAAGATACATTACTGAAGAATATTACACTGAAGGTGAGTAGCTGTGCCAGTTCTTCTGCACATTGTTGTGGTTCTCAGGTGCTCCCTTCACTGCATGCTTTTCAGAAGCCAGCTCATTGTGATTTGGTGCCACTGGTAGCACCAAATTAAAATTAGGGTTAACCAGGGAGTTATGTGACATGAGGCCATGTACCTCCAGTGTAAGACCCTCAGAGTATGCTGCACTAATGAGCTGCTGCTTGAAATAAGTTCTGGAGTGCCTGTGCCTTCAGCAGGGAAGGGTCTCTGCATGCTCTCCCCTGGGCATGTGGGGCAGGAGCACAGACTCTGCTGGGACAGCACATCTGCTGCCAGGGAGAGGTGGCAGGCTGGAAAATGGTGTGCAGGCTGCCAGCTGGGCTGCAGGGCTCTGCACAAGCTGGAGATCTCTTCCTGTAATCATCATTCCCCTTGAATGCTAGGGGAACTAGCATTCTACCTTCTAGACATCCTGTAGAATACTGGTAACTACAAAAAAGGACTTGCCAAGAGCTTTGAGTTTCTTACTGAAATGAGTTTGTTTTTTTCTGACTCTAATCATTTGCATTTGTTCTGGATACTTGAAAGTATCAACCTGCTGACATAAGCAGTAATTTTGACTTATTAGTGCATTTGTGCTGATGGACTCATTTCCCTGTATAACTTATCTTACCATTTCTCCCCCCCCAAAGGAGAACCTGCAGACTCTAGGAACAGAAATAGAACGGCTTATTAAACACAAGCACGAACTGGAACAGAGAATAAAGCAGACATAACTAAAACTTCTGGGGACTAACCAACCTGAAGATGCAGAAAAGGCAGGTGCTACAGACCACTGTTTTACATTCTGCCTGCCAGCACAAGCATCTGGGTTTTTGCAGAAGAAGCCTTTGGCCACACAGGCTCACTCGTGTGAGAGACCAACAGGGTTTGGCATCTGTGTGGTTCTGTCTACCCAGGACCAGCCTCAGGCACTGCTGAAATTCACTGCACACTACATTTATCTGAAACTTCTATTTGAAATACAGATGCTTTGCAGTGCAGACTGTTTGGAGTGAGTTGCCATGAGATTTTAATTTCTGCACTGTGTAATTAATCAGTCTCTTAATGATGGAGCTTGAAAAAAAAAATAAAGCCAATTATGTCTTAGTTGCTATTGAACATATCCAGTGTTACTGAGCTTTAAGGGCTTTAAGACATTTATTTCCTTTCTTGCATATTATTTCTGATGTTTGGGTTGATTAAGCATTTTTGACATATGCATGGAAGAATACTTTGTTACAAAATTTTGGGTTTTAAGTGGTGACCATGATATTGCATATTTTCTGCTTTAGATTAACATTCAACTGGTCGATTTCTTTATTCCAGAGGAGTGAAACAACAGTACAATTAAGGAATTAGAAAGTGTTCTGAAACAGTTCTTGAATTCATGTAGTTGAAACCAATGTCAGTTCAGCAAATTTTGTAAACCCTTGATCCTTAGACGTAGGGATCAAAAGAAGTCTGATAACAGATAATTGGTTAATAAAGTTCTCTGGGCTTCTGCATAACTAACAGCATTTAGGAGTTTAAGCTGCCCATTGTAAATCTATGTAAGTACATGTAGACATGGTGATTGCATCTGCTTTCAAAGACAAATGGAAGCCAATAAATTTTCTCATTAGCTGTGGCTAGACCAACTGGTGACAGTAATGGTAAGAAATAGATCTAAATGGGATTTTAATAGTTGGACTGTGAAAGTGGCACAGAAATCTGTGCAACTGCTTGATTTTACTGTTGTGAAGAATTAGTTGGTGGAAGTAACTAAAAACTGTTACTTAATCCTTCAGTGGCTGAGATGCTGATGGAGGAAGAGTATCAAGGTGACAAGATTTGGGTTAATCACAACATCATGTTCACATTTTAATTCCAGGATAAGTAATACACAGGATCTGAAATACCTTTATTCCAGCAGTAAATGCACAGTTTCTGTATCTGTCACTTTTTGACCAAAATCAATTTATCAGATCACCCTGTAAATACATACTTCAGGTTTTTAAATACTTGAACTTCCTATTGCCATGAAAAGTCAATGTACAGTTACAATAGCAATGCTTTAGCTACTTTAATCAAAAAAGGGGGTGTGGGGAGAATCTGTCTTGCTGCAATACTGTTTGCATCGTACACCAAATGAGGGACCTGAATTTGGCAGCACAGAGGAGGAGAATTGATCAGACATCTGGGTGACTTAGGGATGTGAACTCCCTTCCCACATGCCACTGAGTTGCCTGAGGTTTGTAATAAAGCAAATTGAGCAAAAGAGCCCAATTTGATTGGAATAGTTTGGTTTGAGACAGTGGGACTTCCTTGTTAGTTTAAAGATGGGCATCTCTGAAAATCCTTGTGGGATCAAGACCTGGTTTGTGGTCCAGAGAGCTTCAAGAGCTCGGGATGGCAGGTCCCTTCAGTGTCAAAGGATTAAGTATCCCTTTGGAAAGGGAGAATGGGAGCAAATATAGTTTAAAATCTGAGCAACTATTATATAGAAACTGCAAGCCTTTAATCTGGGTGGGTTTTTATACATCTATTTTTCTAATTCCTGAGCGCAGTGGTTATCTGAAATGTTAGGAAATTTGGGCCAGTCCAGTCATGGGACTACTTCTGCTTTACTGTTGTTTAAGTGATGTGAAATGGCAAATACCTGGCTGTGCTGAAACAGATTTGTCACAGCTTCCAGGAAGCAAACAGACAGCTGTTCATGACTGAGCTTGGACCTTCTGCCAGAGAAAGTACTTTAGAACAATTTGCATGCTAAAACATAGCTTAGCTCTTGTATGTTTGTGTTTTCATGCTTTAATGTACCAGATCTCTGGATGTTTTCAGGCATTCAGATGAATGATTCCAGTATTTTAGATACCATGTTAATATTGTAATCTTTTAATGTATGTTCTCCAGGTGTACAGTGTGAATGAAGGAGGGGTGTGGTGCAGATGGAATCAGTGCAATGGCTTTGTGGAAATTCTTATTTCTTTTTGGCATGGTTGTTCTCCTTTTAAGTTGAGAAACCTAGTTAGCTGTCCTCCTGCCCTGCTGAAATGCTGCTGGCTCTTTGTAGCACTAATAACTTCTCAGACTCTTTTTTTTTTTCCCCCCCTTGGTTATGGAGACACACAAAGCAGCCAAAATACCACGTTGTTTTTTGTGCACGGTGTTTTCATGGACCAAAGCTGTTATCCACAGGTGTTATTCTAAACATATCTGTTAGAGATGGGAAAGTCATTCTGGCTTGCACATTGGCAAGTGACTCTCCATTCAGCCTGGGGTGTGGGTGAGTGATGAGTGCCTGGTGGGGTCAGCCACAGCGACTTGGCACAAGGATGTTCCTCCTTTTTGAGAGGCAGTGATGTGTCAGCCATGAAATGTTGCTGGCCCTGTTCCTGTGGGGTGGCTTGTCAGGAGTGTGGTGCTGTTGGTGCAGCACTGAGCACACTTGCTGTGCAAAGGTGTTTCTGTGGGGTGGCTCTCACAGGTGAGCACCAGCTGGTGCAGGGGTGGGTGTGAGCCTTGTGTAGCAATCTCATCCCACTTATCCCTGTTTTGGAAATTGTACTATGGACCTGAAACTGAAAACTGTCCTCAGATGAACTGAATTTAGACACAAACTGGTGAATTGATAAACTAATCATGAAGGCAGCCTGGAGCATGTAGCTACATGCCTGTCACTGAAATTCAGTGCCCATTAGACGTGGAATTGCCACAGGCTGCTTTTGAAAATTCCAAGCTTGTGGCTGGTTGTGTCTTACAAGCTTAAACATCTGTTTCTTAAATACTCAGGGTGCTCTTTTCATTCAAACATCGCACAAACAGATGTTGTTAGAGGCCCTACAAGAAAGCTGCCTATGCTTTTCCACCCTCTGTAAAATTCAGCACTGTCACTGTCAGAAACCAGATCCTCTGACCTGAAGAATACAATTTTGTGCTACAGAAATCACTGGCTTGCTGCCATACAGACTTGTGCAATATTTTTAATTATAATGTCCAGAAAACTGGAGATTGATTTCTTCCTTGAACATTTTCTCATTATCTTCACTTGTTGCTGGCAACACCTGTAGTATCTCTCTAAAAATATTTTTAATTGCAACGTTTTGGTTCATAACTAAAAAAAGGAAAAATTTAAAACCAGTATGTCTGGCTTCCAGTGCATCAAGTGTAAACCTGAGTGTCCACATGCTGCAGAGACCTGAATCTAGGGAGGGGTTCAGAGGGCAAGGCCTGTCCAAGGGGCCTTCACCCTTCCTGTGCCAGCAGTGGTGGCACAAGGAATCAGGTGTGCCCTGTCTCACCTGTCCAGGGACAGGTGCCTGTGTTGCAGAGGGAGCTGGGTGGTATTTAGAGCTTTTCCAGATGGATGGGTGTTTCCTTCCCCATTTTCATGTTCTAACTGAAACTGTTGATTCTTCCAATCTATGTGTGTAAGTCCTGTACACAGAATGTCTTGTTGATTTCATTTTGTAGATACCTGTTTCTGTATAAAGTTTTCAAAGGTATTGCTATACCTTCTGTATATACTGTACTTTGAAATAATAAACATACAAATGTATGAAAGCCTGCTTTGGGTCTGATTTGTCCCACTATGGTGTTGGGAGGTGTCTTCACTAATAGAATGGGACTGCAGGGACATGTTCTGTGAGCTTTTATCACAGCATCAGCCTCATTACATAGTTGAGACAATAGAAAGATGGCAAAAGCTCATGTACAACCAGCAACAGCTTAAGATTTTTGTTATGGAGCATTTTTAAAACTTTCTAACCAATAGCACATTGCTAAAGCTTACAGACAATTGTTCTAGCCAATTACTAAAAGTACACGTATACCTGCTTCACACAGTGCTTACTTGTCTTCTTTCTATTAACAACATACAATACTTCATTATTAAGTAATGAAGTAAGCTTAATTAAGTAAGCTTAAGACATTCTACTATCTTGCTAAGCATATTTTTCTGCAGCCTTAAGGTCTATCTTAGCTAAGCCTAA